TTATCTGGTGAGCGGCGCCTCCTCCCGCTGGTCCGGCGAGGCGACGGCGGCCTTGCTGAGCACGGCGGCCGAGTAGGGCAGGAAGCCGCTCTCGGAGCGCTGCCCCGTCGCCGTGCAGGGGAAATCGGCGGCCGCGCCGCCCCGCGAGCCCAGCGCCGAGGCCGCCGCCGCCGCCGCCGCCGCCGTCTGGCTGCTGTGGCAGCTGAGGCAGGAGCAGGGCGCCGAGCCCCCCGGCGGCCCCGACCCCGCCGCCGCCGCTGCCGCCGCCGCCGCCGCCGCTGCCGCCGAGGCGGCCGCGCTGCTGTTGAGGCCGGCGGCGGCCGGCGTCTGGTAGAGGCCGGGGTGTCGGAAACTGCAGAGCAGCTCCGGGCGGGAGTAGGGGTGCGAAAGGGCGCGGAAAGTGTCCAGCGGGCGGATGGAGGTGGCGAAGGGCGCGGCGGCGGCGCCCGAGGCAGCGGCGGCAGCGGCGGCGGCAGTGACCCCGACGTGAGGGTAGTAGTGGAGCGGGACGTGGGAATGGAAGGGGTAGGGCAGGCTGCCCGTGGCCGCAGCGTGGGTCATCATGTAGGTGTAGAAGCTGGGGTCGGCCGGGTGGGGCCAGGACATGGCCAGGCGCTGCCGCTTGTCCTTCATCCGCCGATTCTGGAACCACACCTGCGCGGGGAGACAAGCACAACGCGGCCTCAGCTCCGCTCCAGTCCTCGCCCCGCCGCACCCGTTCCCGCCGCGGATACCTGCGGGCACCCAGCGACACCCACTGTCAACGCTTGTGGGAGACCCCTCTCCCCCCCGGAGCAATCGCCCGTGACCTTGACCGAGGGGAGCAGTGGGTACGGTTCCCCCTTCTAGTCGAGGGGGACCCCTTGGATCTGAATAAACGTTTTCCCTTCGAATCGTCCCCTCCTCCCCACGCAGCACTATGTCTTCACGGGACTGACGCTCATTCCCCGTGTATAGCAGCTGCGTTCATTCTCTCCCCTCTTCACTTTAGGAAGTAGGCTAAAGCCATAAAAACTGACGAAGAAAATAAGAAAAAACCCAACAGCAGCAACAAAAAAAAACCCAAAAAACAAAAATAACAGGAATAACAACTTTTTAAAAAGCAAATTAAAAGTATTGGGTGAGGAGACGCAAACGAGCACGAGTGGTGATCAATAGCTATGGGCTCTGCGAGTCCTTCAGCCGGAGAGCGCAGCCGGCCACGGCCCGGGGGAGCGGGTCACCGCGGGGCTGCGCGGGGCGGCGGCGGCGGCTCGGCGGGGCGCGGGGCACGGCGTACCTTGATGGTGGTCTCAGGGAGGTTGAGGGCGGCGGCCAGCTCGCAGCGCCGCGGCCGCGACACGTAGTTCTCGCGGTAGAATTCCTTCTCCAGGCGGGCGATCTGCTCGCGGGTGAAGGCGGTGCGGTACCGGCGCACCTGGTCGGCCCCCGCCGCCGAGCCGCCCAGCGCGCCGCCGCTGTGCAGGCTGCCGATGCCGCCGGCGGGGGCGGCCGCCGCGGCGGGGGCGCTGGGAGTCGGGCTGCTCTCCGCGTAGCCTGCGGGGCGAGGGCACCGGGATGAGAGCGGGCGACAGGGTGGTCCCCCAACCCTCCCGGCCAGGCCGAACAGGGCCCGCTGCACCCGTGCTCAAGGCCACCTGTCATTCTTACAAATCCTTTCTGCTAGCAGAATCGATAAATTTGGATTCGGAGGTTGGTTGTTGGGGTTTTTTGCTTGTTTGTTTGGGTTGGTTTTGGTTGTTTGGTTTGGGGTTTTTTTGGGTTGTTTTTGGTGGGTTTTTTTTGTTTGTTTTTTGTTGTTTTTTTTTAATAACTTCATAACCGCTTTATTCTCAGTAGATGGGGTGGGCTTGGGGTCTGCAGGGCAGATGAGTTCAGGGGAGAGCAGACGAGGGCGCGGGCCTGCGAGCATCCCGGGCTAGGCACTAGCCTGTTCCCCTTCGACTGCCGTTCTTTATTTTCGTTTGAGACATAAGAAATAAAAGCAGCCACAAAAGCTTCCCCCCCCCCCCTCCAGCGTTACGTCGAGCATCCCTTCCTCTCTCTGGCACATTTGACAAAAAAGGCATGCACTGTGGCCCCTAGGAAATCCACCGTTCATCTACCTCCACCTCCCCAATAACCTCCAGCAATAATAACAACCACCGTCCATCACCGTGGCCCGCAAAGCACGGGGAAGGAGATGAGGCTGTTTCAAACCCCCTGTTACAAGGAGAAGAAAAGTGAACAATGCCAAATTACCCCGAGGTGGACACAGACAGCACGTTGCATATACACAGAGAAGGACACACAGACAAATGCGAGTAGTTTTCTTTCATTCCCCTCTCTCCCTCTAATTTAATCTATGTATGTATATAGACGCATATACAGCTCAAGAGACGCCGAGAACTCCAAGAGCTCGGGGAAATAAGTGGAGAAAGCTTTGCCTAAATATAAGTGGGTGGATATTTGTGCCCACATATACTCTGGATATATATCTACATATCAATGGATTTGGGCATGCACAGACATACACATACACGAAGGCACCCGCACAGGAGCTGCCCGAGCAGTGTGTCTCGGTTATCGGGATAGCGCAGTAATTGCAATAATATTTTACAGCCTGGAGCTCTGTCTTCGCAGAAGAGAGAGCACTGATGCAGAAGCGAGCAACTTTGGCAGTGGCGGTGGGTTTCCTTTGGTTTTTAAAGCCTGTTGGCAAAGCGCGGGGCTTAGACGGAGATGATAAAGGAAGAGTTACCTTTGTTACTGTTTTCCTTCAGCTGGGAAGAAGTCAGGCTGGCCGGGGAGCGGAGCGCAGAGCAGCCCACCTCCACATCACTGTTCATATCTGCCTCTTGAGCAACTTCGGAATAAAGGCTGATTTTCTTCCTGCTTTCCGACGGCGGGATTTCGGAGGAGACCGTGCTTTCGCTGCTCGGATGCTGAAGATTGAATAAAGTGTCTATTTCAAATTTGCCTTTGGCGGAGATGTCCCCTATAGCGCTGTGCAGGGAGGCGGCAGTCAGTCTCGGGCTGAGGCGACCACTGTGCGGAGAATTTTCAAGGGCCTCCAACACTGCATTTCCAGCTGAGTCTGACAAATTCGAGAGCCTTTTGCCAGCTGTAGGGCTGTGCAGCCCTCTCTCCATCAGGATCATCTCTTTTCTTATTCTTTCCATCATCTCAGCTTTATAAAAAATGTCAAAGTTGCAGGGCTGGTCCTGTACTAATGATGAGCTGCAGCAGGGGCTAATTCACATTCAGCCCGGCAAGTGTCTCTAAATATTATTATCTGTTTTTGAGGGAGGTGTAAAAATTGTGGGATGCCAAAGCGAGGGAATGACTGGTCAAAATGACCCATACATCCTTTCTAGCCCGAAATGTCATTCATCAAAAAGTGGTGCTCGTCATTAAGGTACGAATGACGCTATTCGAATAATCATTTATTGTAACAGGTTTATAAGCAAATAAATACAAGCTCCTGTCAGTGGATAATGAAGGCGGCTTCAGAGCAGACAAATATATCCAGGTGGAAAGAAAGAAAGACAAGAAGTGAGGAGTAAAGCTCTTGTCCTTAGCTTGATCAGATCTTGCTTCAATTGCTCTGGGGTTTGGCCTCTGGGGTGGAATTGACAGTCTGATTAATAAAATGAGCTGTGCAACATTTCCCCCTTCATTTAGGTGCATCATTATGCTCTGATTTTTGTTTTGTTGCCTTTTAGGTCCTAATGATGCAGCTTCTTTCTCATTTGTCCTCGGACAGAACTACATGCTAAATATTAGATAATGCTTTTCTTTATTATTATTTCTGAGGCGTATTTTAGATCACAACGCAAGGAATTGCTGGAAGAGGACCAGAGGACCGAGAACCTCCTGCCGCTGATATCTCTTTATTTTTCCCTCCCATTTCCAGACCACATTAGTAGTTTTATTTAGGAATTTACACTGACACCCCCACGCACCCTCACACGCGCAGACCTTATGCCCAGACTTTATAAACCCGCACAAATATAATCAAGCACAGATTCGAGCATACCTACAGCAGTTACCTGAAAATTTAAATATTTATTATAATCTAGTATATGACAAGTCTTAAATTTTTCTTTGTTCCTTCCTTAAATAAGATCTTTTTTTTTTTACTTTCTATAATCCTGTTTATCGACGAAACTAGCCTGCGCTTTTTCATCCCTCTGGGGCGCTACTGACCGTCGTACGGTATGATAGGGGAGGGAAATAACCGAAGGACACTGAATGCATTCGTGATTTAAAACACTCCACGGGCGTCCATCTAATCCTCCCGGCAGGTTTCTCTCCAGCCCTCTGCTTCTTTTCTCCCCACCGCCAATAAAACTTACGCATTTGAAAATTAAAAAAATAATCACAGAATTAAGTGATGGGTGGGAGGTATTGACTACAGGCTCCGAGCTATCAGAAACATCATCTTAGCACCCTCTCTTCAAAGTTACCTGTGGCTCAGCTAGCTCATCCCTCCGCTCTTTGCCAGGTGCCGCGGGGCGAAGCGTCGCCGCGCTGCAGGAGACACGGGCTACCGCGCTCGGCAGACGTGACAGTCGGAAAGTCTCCCTTCAGTGGTAACTTAGCTAGTAATAATGACGCTGATGGCAACCACTTAAACGAAGATAAATCCTTTGTCGTTAGCATCTCTGGAGTGCGTTTCGATAGCTGCCCAGCCTTTATTCTTGCCGTGATTTTTTTTTCACCCACATCGTCTAGTATTTAGACCCCGTGAATCCGAGTTTCATCGCCCGGAGAAACACCCCAATCAAACGCGGGCTCGATTTTTTTTTTTTTTCCAAGGAGAACTGTTTCTACTAATCTTGGTTCACACGTCTCCTAAGTTTTTGTGCTCTTGCGCATGATTCATAGCTCGAAAACGGGATACTTGACAGATTTTTTTAATAACGTGTTAAAGTCTCCCTAAACATTCTACCAAATATTTAGGAAGCATTCTAGGCGTTGTTTGCAAAATCCAGCCTTCCATTAATGAGAGTTTTATGTCAGCCCTTCGAAATGTGAATTTAGACTGCAGTGTGGTGTCCTGAGTTTTACAGCCTCCAAAACAGACAAAAGTAAACGTCAACTTTTCCTCGCCCGGGGACGCGGCGGCGGAGCGGCCCAGTGCCGAGGGGAGCGGAGCGGTGCGCGGGTCACAGGGCCGCAGACGACATCCCGCGGGGGCTCCGGCCGGGCCGGGAGCGGAGGCTTCGCTCTGCCCTCCCCGAGGGACGGGGGCTGTCCCCGGGGTGCACCCGCGGAGCGCAGCCGAGAATCTGGCACCGCCCCGCCCCGCCCGACGGGCCCGGCGCCCACGCAGCCCCGCCACGGTCCTGCAGTCCCCGCTTCCCCCGCCGTGCCTGGCTCCGCAGCAGGCGGCGGCCCGGCCGCCGGTCCTGGCGGGGCGGAGGCGGAGCGGAAACCTGCGGCCGGTTTTATTGCTGTCGTTTGGCGCCCTCGTCTGTTTTCTTACATGCTGTAACGCGGCGAGCATCTTTCCCCCTGCTCTTTCGGAAACCGCAGCCGAGATACCACATCTCGGAGGCAAATCCTGTGTGCACACCACCAGAGCAGGCACAGTTTTAGACTCAAAAAATGTTACTGCACCACTAGAAAAGAGGGAACGATTTTTATGTTATTTGGAGCGGATGGAAAAGACTTATGTGAAAAGCCCCAGTGTAAGAAAAATAAGTTCCACTCAAGTGCGGCTATGAATGATCTTTACCAGGGTTATATTTTGCACCTTTTAAATAATACTGATACCTTAGGTTATGTACAGAGTATCTTAAAATACAGCTAGATTCATATGCAAGGGACATAAAATATTATAAGAGACGCTAGTAATCTTCCACTAGGTAGAGGTGAGGTTACAAAACTGTTCTCTGCAATGCAGCTAATCAGTTCACCCCAAACCGTCAACCCCCAAATAAACTAATTGCCTATTTTTATATTGTCAGTAAACTAGAGGCATTTACTGCACTGATATTTATCTGTTGGGTTGTTGTTCGTGGGTGTGTGTTGTTTGGGGGCTTTATGTTTTGGGTGGGGTTTTTTGATTGTTGCTTATTTTTGTGATGGGGAGGTTGTTGTTGGTTTTGGTTTTGTGGGGTTCCCCCCCCCCAAAAAAAAAAAAAAAAAAAAAAAAAGAATAGCACGGTCTAAAAAGATCTTTCGGAATATGTTTATAGTTGTTCAAAACCAACAGCTAAGCCTGAAGAACCTCCGACATTAAAGTGACATTATTGGGCAAAGGGGGAGGAAGTTACAGAGACTACCGAGAAACTGCCGAAATATGCGAGTTTTTGTTAGACTCTGTTTACTCAGTTGTTCTTGTAAGTTTAAATAGCTGCTTAGGCCTTTGGCCAGATTTTTACCTTGAAAGTTATTGCTGGAGGCATCAAAGAACATTTCAGTGTTCGTTTATTAAATGTTACCCCGGGAAAAGGGGTCACGTAGCTTAATTGAAATGAAGTTCGTATTAAATGAGACAAACATCGCGGGCAGCTTTTCACCAAGAGTGTGCTTGGGAAGACGAGCGGGAATATCTGCTTCTTACCCCGCGGCGGGGCAGGCTGCCAGCAGGGCCCCAGGGCGGCGTGCAGCGCCGGGGAGGTACCCGCGGCAGCGCAAAGTCTCCGGGACGTGGCCCGTGGGGTGGGAGCAGGCGGCGGTGTGCTGGTGGGGGGGCGTGCGGGGGCGCGGGGAGCCGGTCCTGGCGGGGTCCGGGGGAGCGGGGTCCGGTCCGGGGGACCCGCGCGGCGGGGGCGGCAGCGCTGCCGGCAGGCGCGGCAGTGCCACCTGGCGGCGTCTCGGCGGCACTGCCCGTCTTGCCCGCCAGCCCTGCCCGCCCTGCCCGTCCTGTCCTGTCCTGTCCTGTCCTGCCCGCAGGTTCTACCTGCCCTGCCTGATTTGACCGTCCTGCCCGCCAGCCTTGCCCGTTCTTCCCTGCCCATTTTGCCCTGCCCGCCCTGTCCTGCCCTCTGGCCCTGCCCACAGGTTCTACCTGACCTTCCTGACCGGCCAACCGGCCCTGCCCGGCCTGCTCGCCTGCCCTGCCAGCAGGTGCTGCCATCCTGCCGTGCAGCCCCGCCCACCCTTTCCGCCAGCCCTGCCCGCCCTCCCTGTGCCAGTCGGAGCCCGCCTGGCAAGGCAGCTCCGCACCCGCGCAACGCGTGTCCTGCACGCAGTGCGCTCCTGCTCAGCCTCGCATCTCCCCTCCGCCTCAGACCGCCATATAAGCGTAGGGCCAGTCTAGGGGCGTGTTCAGTCCAGATTATCTGTAAAATGTCACCCACGAGGAAAGGACACGAGCATAGCATATCCCCGAGTCCCTCGGGCCCTGTACACCGTCCCTCCCAGCGCCGCCCAGGCGGAGATCCCGCGGGCGCTACGCGAGGTTCATGGGTGCGTGATGTCTTCTGGGGCTGCCTTTGCACACAAACGGGGTTTAATTCAAATGATAGAACCTAAGCAGGTCTCAAAGGGACTCGACTGATGGTTCAATTTAGGTTGCAACTGGTCCAAGATCAGGATCCCGAGGTCTCCGCGCTGCGTCAAAGCGGAGGTTGGAGTCGGGGAGCGGCCAGCACCAGCCCGTGACCCGAGAGCTCAAGTTCAGCACCCGCAGTGCTCATCCGCCCGTGGCCGCTGCACCGAGGCCACGCGGGGAGCCCTGAGAAAACTTTCTCCGACTCGAAACGGATTTTTTAAGGCTGAAGTAACTAAAGACATAAGAACCTGTGGCACATATCTGGAGGGGAAAATAGTTTAACAATTCTTCCCACGTTGCTGTTAAATCTTTTCATTACTGTAACTGGCTATTTTTTAAAGTGGTAGGGGAAAATGAAAGTTCTTCTGTTCTGTTTAGCTATTAAAAATTCTACGCAAGTTAAAAGGTAATAACGGAACGTAGTGGGCATGGAGTAAGGTTTGGGAGAAGTACAAATTGAGTGGTTATATTTGCGTTCTCCGTCTGTCCTGAGAGATATTTTTTTTTCCTACAGCAAACACTAACAGAAGCAAATTCCTATAGACACGATTATCATCGGCAAATTCTAGCGAGGGAGGCGATCAAAATTCGGGTTGTTTTTGCTGTGAGAGACGAATACTAGTCGGATACTAAAAACCTGTACTAAAAGTTTGAGTAGAATCCTAACTGCATCGTAAATGCACTTGAGGAAATGAGATAATTTCAGGAATTAAAAAAAAAGGAAACCCCACAACCTTTTCTTCCGGGGAGACCACAAGCACTGCCTACAGCGATGCCATATAGCTCGTGTATTCTGGAGGTTCCTGTGCAATGTGTCAATGGAATATGCAGCGGGACTCGGCGGGGCGCTGGGCACCCGAGGAAGCGCCGCTGGGGCAAGACAAGGACTGCCCGCAGGCAGAGGCCCGACCAGCGCGGCAGGTCCCCCTGCCCTGCCCGACGTGGAGCGGCGTCTCAGTGGGGACAGTCCTCCCTGAGCAAAGGAAACGCTGGGCTGCTCCGGACCGGGGCCGCGGCCTTCGCACGGTGCCCCGCACGGCCCCGGGGCCGGGAGTGCGGGACGCCTCCTGCCGCTTGTAAACTGGGCGGGTGCTCTCAGAGAGACGACCTTTGCTCATGAGATCATTATTTTTATTCGTATGCATAATATCATGCCATGCACGACATTGCTGTTTTATACACCCTTCACAAAACGGCTCATTATAAAATCGAAGCAATTGAATATATAGTCATAAACCCGCCCAAAGAGTTTTCTGGTACACCGGGGGCTCTCGCTGGAGCAGATGTCTCGGCAGGACTGAAGACCTCTACGGGCGTCGCTGCGGCTGCACTGTGATTTGCTTTGATGTAATCGACTTCAAAAAGCTCTGAAACACTGCGTTTTAGGTGCTCCTTTCTTTTGGCAGCCTTATTTGAAATATTCTGACGTCAGAGAAAAATTCACCGCATTTACTGCAAGAGGAAACACAACGGGACGTGGGAATACAAATGGAAATATGTCTCATTTCTCGGGGCTTTTATTTTTAGCAATGTTTTCACTAGAAAGTTGCATGCAGGGGCATAAAAAAGTGAGAAACTTGTGCCTCGACAAAACGTCCTCCTAATTACAGGGGGTTTCATGTCCTGAGACTAAATACTGATTCAGCTGATAACCGAGCGAAACATGTAATCACGCCTGGCTAACTTCTTAGCTGATTATGAAAGAGTAATAGCAATTAAGTGGTCAGAGCTAATGAACATGAACTCGCTTATGCCATCCGGTTGATGCTGTAATTACTGGCACCCGTTTGTCATTCCAAACCCTGCTTCCAGATACTGCCGACGATTATTAAACAGACTATAAAGTAGGGCTGCGTGACTGGCTGCTGCTGCGGGACCTGCTTCGGTCCCGCGGTAGTTCAGGGGTCCGGAGGGCCCTGCCACCACCTGCCTGGGCTGCTCAGCAAGGACACCCCCAGAGTCCCGAAATCGTGTCAGGACGGTTTCACCTCTGTGGAGGCTGCCTCTCTTTCCTCATGCGCCTGAGCCTCCGTAGGGACAGTAAACACGGCCCCAGCTACATAGTTTTCAGCGGCGCGAAGTTTCCCTGTCCTTCCCCGCGGAGCTGCCGCCTTTCCCAGCAATTTCTTGCCCTCCGCGCCCGAGAAAGGGCTAAGTGTCCAATATAAACCCGCAGAGGGACAGGAGCCGGTCCAGAGGCGCAGGGGCTGGGATTGTGATTGGGGTTGTGGTTAGTTCTGGGACAAGAGTTCGGAGTCGTCTTTGGAGCTTTCTCTATTTCCAGCACTTCGCGTTCCTGCAATTTCCACCCTGACACAGCGGGAGAGTCGAGAGAGACGACAGAAGGATTTGCCACAGTCTTGGGAAGTCACCACAAGAACAGTCGTCAGCATAAGCGAACGCTACCTTTTAACTAGGCTGCCTTACCACGACATGAACTGACACTGCAAGGGAAAAAAAGCCACATCTAATGAGTGCCAGGTTTACCATCTTGCGCTGCGCACAGACGCGGTGCTTTTTCCTGGCCGGTAGCAATACTGGGGGGGTTAAAAGAGGCTTCTCCCGTGGACCGAGACCTCAGTGAAACCAGGGGACCCCTTCTCACTATAACAAAACACTTCATATATCGCCGGGAAGGAGGGAGGTGGGGGGGATGGAATACAAAGACTATGTGGATTTTTCCCCATGTTGCAGACGCAACAATGAGCTGGAGAAGGTCTCGTTGTGGATCCGGTCAGACCCCTGTCCGCGGCTCTAAAAAGAGTCCCTGCCCGCGTCTTCAAAAGGTCCAGTGGTACTCGGCTGGCCCTTTTGAAGCCGCGGGCAGGAGGAAGGGAGGGATGAAAGCAACGGGGGCCGGGGTTGCTCCGGAGGGGCATCACCGCCGCCCGCCCAACCCCCCCTCCAGTGCCGGGGCCGTGGCGGGGCGGGAGCTCGCCGGCGGGGCGGGGGTGGGAATAGACGGAGGAGGGGGGGCGCCGTCGGTGCGGACCGGGGGGCTGCGAGGCGAAAGGGGCAGTGCGGGCAGCGGGAGGGTCACATGTTCCGACGGCAGCCTATGAGCAGCCCCCCGGGCTGAGGCAAACTAATCTGGGGCCGGCCGCCCCCACCCCCGTCCCCCCTCCCAACCTGGACTTCGTTTTTATAAACGTACCGCCAGGATCCAACCTGTTGGAGGCAAATAACCATACGCATCATGCCCGGCCGGGGACCGAGCCGCCACCGCCGCCGCCCGCGATGTGCAAGGCCATGAGCAAAGCAGGGAGCTGGGAGATGGACGGACTGCGCGGCGACAGCAGCGGCGGCGGCGGCGGCGGCGGCGGCGGCGCCTCCGGGCAGTGCCGTAATTTTCTCTCCTCGCCCGTTTTCGGGGCGGCGCACACGGGCCGAGCGGCCGCCGCCGCCGCTGCCGCCGCCGCCGCCTCGGGGTTTGCCTACGCCGGCGGAGGGGAGCGCTCAGGGGCGGCGGCGAGGCCCGACCCCCCGACCAAGGACTGCCCGAGCTCCGCCACGCCGGCCGCCGCCCCCGCGCTGGGCTATGGGTATCACTTTGGCAATGGATACTATAGCTGCAGGATGTCCCACGGGGTTGGGATCCAGCAAAATGCCCTGAAGTCTCCCCCCCATGCCTCCATTGGCGGCTTTCCCGTGGAAAAGTATATGGACGTCTCCAGCTTGACCAGCACGAGTGTTCCCGCCAATGAAGTCTCCTCCAGGGCGAAGGAAGTGTCCTTCTACCAGGGCTACACAACCCCCTACCAGCACGTTCCTGGGTACATAGACATGGTCTCAACGTTTGGCTCTGGGGAACCGAGACACGAAACATACATATCAATGGAGGGCTATCAGTCTTGGACTCTGGCTAATGGCTGGAATAGTCAGGTTTACTGTGCCAAAGATCAGACACAGAGCTCACACTTCTGGAAATCGTCCTTTCCAGGTACGAGAGGGGGAGAAATGGTCTGAGCAGAACTCCCCCGTGCCTCCTCCGCCTGCTCGTCCCCTCCCCCGCCCCCCGGGCTGCAGGGGCGGCCTGCCGAGTTGGACACGCTGCACAGACACGCATAGAGCAGGGTGGGGGTGGCGGATTTTCTTTTTCTCACCCCCCTTCCCACCCCTTACCCCAGAGAAAATCTCACCCTCTGCTTTCCATACCCGCGGGACTGACCCCAGAATCTCTCCTCCACTAGCGCTCGGGCACTGGACGCCCGTCCCGCGGGCGCCGGGGAGGCCTCGGGTTCCTTCTGCTGATTCCTTCTGTGGCCGGGTTTTATTCGCGTTTGCAGTTTTCAGGACGATGGCTCAAAGGCTTGCGCTCCTCTACCTCTCTGACTGGCGACTGACCCGGCCCCAGACCTCTTAAGAGACTGCAAGTAGTGAGGGCACAGAGGCACAAACCACATGCAAACAAACCCGGGAAACTCTCACCAAAGCGATTTCTGTGTGTGCGCTGGGGCACAGACCTGCTCTCGACCCCAAAGCCAATGCCCCCGCCGCCCTTCATGGTCAGTTAGAGATGCATGCCTGAAAAGTGATGACAGTCCATCAAGGCTTCGGTGGTGCCTTACTAACGTGCAAATAATGTGGTAGCGTAAATAATAATAAACTGTAAACAGCCCGGCATTATTTATTTGCCCATGAAAACCAGTGCCCAACAATATCGGTTAAGCTTTAAACGCCTGTAATAAAATTCTAATTTTTCACATAATGTCTTTTACAATAGGGGACGTTGCACTAAACCAGCCCGATATGTGCGTCTACCGGCGTGGGAGAAAGAAGCGAGTGCCGTATACAAAACTGCAGCTTAAAGAACTCGAGAATGAATATGCCATTAACAAGTTCATTAACAAGGACAAGAGGCGAAGGATATCTGCAGCCACAAACCTGTCTGAGAGACAAGTTACCATTTGGTTTCAGAACAGGAGGGTGAAGGATAAGAAAATAGTCTCCAAACTGAAAGACAATGTATCTTGATACATTAAATGCGGACAGTGATGGATATATAAACTCAATTTACGACCAGCTAAAGACTCTTGGAAAGACTTGAAAATATATTTAATTTTTTTTTTGTTCTTCCAGCGGTGGTGAAATTTCGGGAATAGTTTTCCGTGAAAGTCAACGTTTTTCTGTAAGTGTAAGAGAGTGTTGACAAGCCTCGAATTGAATTATAGTTCAGTTTCTTCTTTTTGAAAATAATAATAATATTAATTATATTTTCTGTTCTCCCCTCTAGGCCAGTATAAACGAACTTAAATATGTTGAACGGTTACAGTTATAACTTTCTTTAATACTTAACTCTTTGGGGGGTTTTCTGTAATTTTTTTTTTTCTCTGAGCAACAGCCAGTGCCAAAAAGTGTCAGTTTTGATTTGGTATTGTAAACCTCAAAACACGCCGAATGAAAAAAAAAAATCGATCGGAAAATGCAAGAAAGCCGTAATATGGACCTGTGGCAGCACCCGCCTAGTCCAGTGGGACCGGAAGAATTACGTGGAGGGTTACTGGCTGCAGCAGAATTTTTAATTGCTTTTCGAGAGAGAGAGAATCTCTCTGAGCTGTTGAGGGGGCACAGAGTCCCAGGCATGTCCCACCGCGCTCCCCACTTCCGCAGGTTTGGGTTTGAGGTTGGGCTTGGGGTTTTTCTTTGCCGCAGTTTCGTTTTCAGTGAAAGGATTCCATAATGCCCAGTTGAAAAGGGAGCCGTCTGTTCCCAGGAAGGGGCACTTTGGTCCCGGGCGGGCGCTGCCGGCCGGGGGGCTGCGCGGCTGGGCGCTCCGCGGAGATTCAGGTCGGGGCGCCTGGGGGCAGCGCTTTCGGCCTGATGGATTGGCCGGCTCGCCCTGCAGCCAGAGGAGAGGCTGCCCCTACAGAGGTGTGTATGGACCTGCGCAGACCTAGGGTAAAATATCCGCTCTATCTTGTTTGTCCGGACCAGCGAAAGATTCTTCTCTTTCCTCCCGCCAAAAAAACCCAACCCCAACAAACAAACAAACAAAACAAAACAAAAAAACCACCAAGGCTAAAAAACCCACAAACCTGCTTGGATAAGTGAAATTCATTGTTAATTTTTAATTTACAAAAAAACCCGCGGGTGTTAATGACAGAAGCAATAAATAAGGAAGTTCAAAAGATACCATAATTTATATGGGCCGAAAGGCTAGGATTTTGTCGATTTTGTAATTATTTTAAATCTAGTGTGCATGTTATGATATACACAGGGTGATCAGACGCGCTAGTCAACTACTAGGAGAGAGAAGTGATTTCCTCTCTGTTAATGTGCCTCGTCTAATTATTAAAATGTGTGTTCCAAACTAGTATTATTTATTATAATATACTATTACTCTAAACACTTTGATTACCATTGTATGTGGTAAGACATGCGATAAGTCTATTTCTCCATAAACCATATCTTTTTTTCATGTGTCTTAAAATCTGCTTTTGTGTTGGAAATACAGCCTGGACTTCCCAGCTGTTACTGATGTTGCAAATCTTTTCCTGAACCGCCTTTAATAAAATGGTTTCTTTTCAATATATATAAAAAGAGAAAAAGAAATTCGCCTTCTTTTGCAGGAAGGGGTTTCGCGGGCTCCAGGCTTGCCTGGCATCTTCTCAGAGGCACTTATAGGACGCCGTTCCTGGGAAATGAGAGGTAGATACGATAAGAGATGCATTAAAGGATGGAAAGGGGTATCCGAGAGTCCCTTGTCGATGGAAAAGAGTTTTTAGGAAGAAAGAAAAGTTGCCAGCGAGAAATGTTGTCATGGGAGGCAGGGGAAAGGCTGTGTCTCCCCTCTTCCTCTGAGCCCTGCTCGGCCCGCCCGATGCCCGGCGGCCGAGGGCGGCCCACGGCCCCTTTGTTCTCCCCTTCCAAAGCGGACCGCCACTTGCCGGTTCCCCGGCTGTGGGGCGGTCTGGGACGGTGCCCCTCCGTTCTGTCCGCAACCGGCTGGTTCCATAGGGGGATTATCTTCCCCCTCCTCCGCCCTATTCCTTCCTCTTTCTACTCCGCTTGCACGTTCACGGTAATTGAGGCGTTTGTTTTCCCCGAACCGACGAAAAGAGTCCATTTCTGAGCACTTCGGATTTTATCACGAAGTGCATTTTTGTTTGATTCTGGGATAAAAGGACACTTGTGGTACACGTCATTTACGCACCTGGAACAGCCCTCTCTGCCGATGCAGCGTTGTTTTCTCCGAATGTTTTAAATTCTTGTCTTCTCCCCCTTGGCACCCCCACTCACCCACACATACTCCTATTAATTCTACAGAGGTTTTTCCTCCCACTGAGTCTCCCTGCAGATGGAAGGCCGGGCACTGTCAGAGCTGTTTTGTTTCCCGGCCCCGGAGCCATCGCGGGCTGTTCTCTTCCTCCTTCCAGGCTTAACCTTTGGCTTTGCCGGGCTCCGTGCTCTCAGAAGGTGCAGCTTTGCCACGGCCAAAACCGCTTTTTCAGGGCAGGAGGAAACCCGAACTGTCTGGCAAATCGGTACCAGATGGAGAGGAGTCGCCTTTTAATTTCATAAGAAGATGCAGAATCATTAAGAAGGCAGCAGCTACAGAGAGGAGGACAGTGAAGCCGGGGCACATCAGCCCGTCTACCTACCGGTGTAGATTAAAAGGGTTTTCTAAGCCTGGAGCTGGGGCATTAGTGAGCGTTATTCAAAACCTCCTTGGCTACACCTCGGACTCTTCCAGAACGCCAGTTGTGCGCGGTCCTGGGGCTGGGCTGCCGCCGCGCAGCCCCAGCTGCAGCCGGTCACAGTCGTCCATGTTTAGAGAAAAGGACATGATGATTCGCCTGAAATGTAGCGCATGTTATTACAGATAATTAATATGTACCTCTACAAAATGAATTGCAAATGCTCAGTGGCGCAATGATGCATTGCTTGGCTTCTGTAAGGCAGTGCGATTTCCCAGCCATGTCTGAGGCAATCCTGCCATCTCCTGGACAGCTCCCGGCATAGGCACGAGAAACCTTCCCCTCGCTTCGGGAGCCGCGCTTCCGAGCGATAAATGAGCGAGGGAGGCTGTTCGGACACATGCAGAGCAACCTTCGTCTGTAAACTGGAAGGATATGCCAGTGAAATTATAGCGTGTGGTCAGCTCTGATGTCCAGGCCGACCCGGATGCCTATTTAAAAACCAGGGGGAAAAAAAAAAGCGGAAAGGAGCGTGTGAAAGCAGCCCTCCGGGTCGCTCTACTTACTCCTCAGTGGTGATATTTCCTGTACAGACACAGGCGGGGGGACACCCGCGGCAGTAACACGCCGCCCCCCCAAACCAGCAGCCGGTTGTGGCTGGAAAAAGCAGCACAAGTCCGTCCAAGGCTCTCCCTCTGCTCCGCTCCGTGGCCAGTCGCCTCGGGAACTAGATATTTCTGTTGTAAATGCTTTTCCCTGCAGATTGAAATATAAACATCGCTTTCTGCAACTGTGACTGTCTCCAACTACTCTAGGTTTTGATTTCTTTTAATTAATTAACAATTACAGATGAATTGAATATTAATTGAAAGCTCTGTTTTCTCTAAGCCCATAAAATTAGTTTGAAGTGTCACCTTTCTTTCCGGTAACTGGAACTCACATCCCTTCCTTGTGTTTATTGCGGACAAAAATATAGTCTTTGAACTGAAAATGTTCCTTCTCTCTCCGAGAACCGAAAATCAGAGTCAGCTTTTTCGTAAAAGGCGACTACGAAAAAAAACCTATTGGCCATCCTCTTTGGGAACAAAAAGTCAGAATACAAGTAAGCTAATAAGTGGGAGATTCAATTGGTAGACATAACTCAAACAATAAAAATTAAAAGCAGTGGTCAGCAATATCCTCCAGCGGTGCTTGTGTGGTCCTGTGTGGTCTAGGAGAGGGCAATCATTTAAAGATTTCTTCCAGAGCAATGAAATTACTGCAGAATTTACCCCAATTTCCCATTAAACAGAAAGATGAATTTGATTAGGAGAATGTCAAGAAGGGCAACGTCTCTGATCTCGGCTTAGAAATAAAACCAAGATTAAAACTATGATTAACAGGAGAGTAACACGCAAAATTAACCCTACAAGTTTTTAACCGCGGTAATGAAAGTGGCGAAGTCCGGGCATTAGGCTTCTCTTGACGCCGGGCTCGCACAGACCGGCGGAGATCCTCTTGGGAAAGAGGCCGAGAGCAGAAATGCCCGGTCTGGATGACGGATGGGCCTCCACAGTGTCCCGCAGGTCAGTGGGGCGGCGGTGCAGAGAGCGGCCGGGAGCACGGAGCCTGTGGGTACCCCCTCCTCGAACCCTCCAGTTCCTCGCGAGTGCCTTTAGGTGCAGCACACGAGACTTTGCCTTTCCTCCGTGGGAAGTCCACTGTCTCGCGAATTGCATGGTTTGGGAAAGGACACAAGCAATCTCCTCTGAGGGTGCTCTCAGATATGATTTTACTTGCTCTGGTGCTACGAGGGAAATGGGACAGATAATGGAATATCCGGGCTCTTGTTTGGTCTATCAAAAATGTAAAACTACTTATAACTTCTCACACGCAACCTGGGAGATGGCAGGGGGGTACCCACCTGAGGCTGACTCTCTTTTGCCCACCGCTGCACTCAAACCCCTTCTGCTGCAGAGTCTGGTATTTTCTTTCTTGAAGTATTTCGATTTTATTTATTTAATTAATTAATTAATATCGGGGTTGCTTGAGTAATTCCGTGTTGTTGCTGTTGTTATTCTCTGTTTGTTGATGCTTGTTTGATTGTATTTTAAGGACAAAACAGACTCCGAGTTTTAGAAGCGTTGTTCACCCAAAAACGCTTCGGAGTGTAGATGAAAGGTAAAAGGTGTAAAAAGGGCAGGCGTGCGGACCCAAGAGAATACTGGTCATTAGTGTGCTAGAATGACAATGCTGGTAATATCCGATCGATTAAGATTTTAATTGCTAGCATATGCAATGCATTGAATGTAATTAGGGTCAGAAATACATACGTGTGCCCTGAACATTCACATCGCA